TTCACAGCACAGGGCTGTGTGCAGTTGTGTTGGCGAAGACAACGTGCCATGTTGAGCACTCTGGGGCCACTGCATATGTAATCTTTCCATCAATGGGTTTGCAAGCCTTTTGTCAGTGTCAGTAAATAAAGCTCCACAATCCCAACTTCCCCAAAAGCAGCGTGTGAACTTACGTTCACACGCAGGATTCTGGCTCAGCTTCCCAAAATAATGGCATGTGTGAGCGGAGGGGAGAACTGTTCAGATGTTTGATGTGAGGCCGACTTGGCCTTCGCCTGCAGTAAAAATAAATCATAGTTGCTCTCAAACACGTGGAAAGAGCTGTACATAATTTAGGGGCTAATCTCACCTTGTCGGTTCCCTGGCTCGCAGCTCTGGAGTGGCACCAGCATGTGGCTTTTGGTCTTCCAGCAGACATTTACCATGAGAAGGTTTTGCAGGGTGATGTCTTTAACATAGGCTCAGTGTAACTTTGCAATCCAACAGTGTGTTAATGAACTGGTGCTGTCTGTGTAGGTGCTTCTTTTCATCATCCTCTTCTGTTACCTCACGTGGAGTTCTTTGAAAAAAAAAACACACAAAAACAAAAAAAAGGCAAAAGAAAGTGGGAATATATTTACTTTCAAATATTACTGTTTTTCTAGGGAGTTTCAGAAGATGTTCTGAAATGTGTTTGAAAATGCCTGTAGAAAATTAATTCCCATGAGATGCATTTATGTGACAGGGAAGAGAAAAACAGCTGTGATATAATCCTCCAATTGTATTTGGTTTGTGGGGTTTTGTGATGCTTCTTTCAACGCATGCCTAAACCTTCTTACTTGCTATGTAAAACTTGCACCATCTTTCAGTGGAAGAAATGATAAAAGGGATGCTGTAAGCAAAGGATGTGGTCGCCAAATATGAAAAGGGCAAAACTACAGGGAGGGAGGAAAGGGAGGGACCTCCAGATTTTGTGCTTCTTGCAGCCTTCCCAACTCCTTCAGTGCTCCATTTACCTTTGTGCAGCAGGAACATGTATAAATGGAGTCTGGACATGCACAAGAGAACGCTGGCATTGCTGCTGTTGGCCTGCTGGATTAGTTGTAGCTCACTTGGTCCAGCCCTGCTTTAGGTGCAGCACAGGGAGCAGGCAGGGCCTCCTGGCTGCCAGCACCCCATCCCTTCTCCTTGAGCGTCAGGCTCAGGAATGCAGGACTCGCCAGAGAGTGAAGTCATCGTGGTTTGCTTGGACCTTGAGCGTGGAACTTGGAGTGCAGCCTCTCCTTCCAATTACGTGAGCAAGTGCTGGCTCGTAGCACGCAGCCTGCAGGCTGAACCTTTGGATTGTGACCCCAGGGGCACGGCTTGATGGATGTCTCTTGTCATCCCTTACCCCACCAAAGCCAGGGAGCCTCACCCAGGAAATCCTCTCAGCAATTTCTGCTCGAGGGGCACCTGGTTATCTTCACTCATGGGACAGAAAGTGCATGATATCTCTGATTAAGTATTATTGAGTACACCGGGTTATTGGCTGGAGACCTAGGTGCCAAAATTTAAGAAAAATGAGAGAAAAGGTAGCAAATAGCCTTTCTTGCAATCAAAGCCGCTTTTGTGATAGGAAAACAAAAAAAGCAGTCTCCTATGTCTGGGAGCACCAGGACGAGGTAAGCAGAGCATTGAACCACATTGTGGTTATATGACATGTGGTGGAGTTTCTTCATGACAAAGTGCTGGTCACTTGTCATGTCACCACTTCAGGAAGGGGGAACAGAGAGAAATGGAGGAAAAGACAGTCCATTATTTATATGAGATTTTTTCCCTATGAGCAAATCTCTGTCATGATTTTCCTTCCGCCAAGCAAAAATCTGCCTCCACAAGCCTGAGCTCTATGAGGAGGTTGGGAAATAAAAAAGAGAAGGGAAAAACCTAAAAATCTCTATTTTCTTGCTAGTCAAATGTGCCTTGAGTAGAGAGAGGCTCCTCTGAGAGTTGCAATTGCTCCCTTGCGGACGCTGGAAATGTTTTGGGGTTTGTTTTTTTTATGGCTGCAGCTTTAATCTGAATGATGGCAAAACTTAGTCTTCTGCTATTACTGCCAGCTCTCTAGATAGAGCGGGAAAGAAAAAAGTGAAGTATCGCTTTGGGGTGTTTCTGGGGAAGAAATGTTTCCACAGCCATAAATTGCTTTCTTAGGAGCACTGAAAATTCCTATCCCAGCGCCCTGCTTCATGGAATCAAAGTCAGCAGTCTTGGATTTGTAAGGAATAAAAACTGAGTCTTATCCAAAAACTTAATAGGCTTGATGTGGCAATGCATGGTAAAACAAACATTGAAAATAAAATAGTTAAGTTTCTACATTTCTAGTTGTAGTAGTATTGGTGGTTTTTAAAGGTGCTTGTCCTGGAGCAAAAATTGTGTTGTGAAACATTGTTTGAAGAATCCCTCTGTTGAAGCAGTGCTGCAGCGCTGCTTTCCCCCAGGTTAAAAATTCACAGTTTATTGGCAGCCTGAGTTAATCTAGAGGTTTGATCTCTGTTCTGTGCTGCAGGATTTAGGTGTTTTTACACAGGTTGCAGTCTCTTCATGGTTTTGCTTGGATTTGAGAATCATTTATATGTAAATGATCCTGATCCCCTGTTCTTTACCTCCTTACCAATTAACTTGGTTTTTGAAGCACACGGTTGTGTGAGCAAAATTGGCAAGTGGTGCTTCCTGGTGAAAAACTGGGTGGTGTTAGCATGGTGATCATGATTGCTGGAGCTCATTACCAAGTTGACTCTGAATAATCAAACCTTTGAACTCAGCTCAGTGGTATCCCATCCGTCTCACTCCGTTAGGCAACTCGGAGGCAGCTCTTTCATGTCGCCTTACAACTTGTCCTATGTAAATGGCGGATGTGTTTATTTTCAAAAGCAGCAAGAAAGCCCAGTGGAACAAGAAAAAAGTTGGAAGAACAAGCCCTCAAAGAGATTTTGACACTGGTGCCAGGGGGTTTATGAAAGATAAAACAGCTCATTTTTTTATGGCTGAAGGAAAATGCCATTAAATCCTACGTGCCTATCTGCTACAGTAAACTTGCCAGAGCTATTCCAAAACCAGCATGCCGTGGGATATTCAATGATTTTCAATGAAAACTAGGCTTAAAAATGCAGATCTCCTGCATGTGGATCAAGGGGAGCTCCAGGGTGCTCACTATATGTTTCTATACGCTCACACATGACTATAAGAATTATTTTAAACAGGGTTTGCTAGCTTTGACTTTGAAACTGCATCTGCTTTGTCTACTCAGTTCCTTTGTGCATGGCATAGGTAGTTTTGCAGAAGGAAAATAACTTGTTATTGTAAGAGTAAATGGGAAACATTTTACAGGTTGCTATCTACCAGACTAATCTATATTATGAAGAAATAAAATGTACTTGTATTAAGTCCTGTTGCAGTAAAAGTGTAATATTTGCTGAAGTTCTCTACAAATTTTAGTCCTCCCTGTAACATCAGGGGGAAATCATTGCTTGGTGACCGAGTGCAGCTTTGAGCAGAAACTGGAAGAAATCTGAGAGAAAAGATCCTGCACAAACATGCAGGATCTGCATGGTTTTTGCATTGTATTTTTCAGAATTCATTTAAACTCAGGGTTCACGGTGAAAGGGAGGTGGCAGGAGAAGGCTGGAAAACCTGATCACTGAGTGTTGGAGACTTGTTTTCAGATTAGTGTCCTGGTGCTCAGGTGAATTAGTGTAGAAACTCCATTTCCTGTTGCTGGACATGGAGCAGTGACTGAAGGCTTTTTGGATCCTGGTAGACAGGATGGTAGTGAGGTGTTACAGCATGGAAAACAGAGTGAAAATGGATCAAAACAAGCCTTTTTATATTGCTTCCTTACCTGCATTTCACAGTCAGCCCGAAAATTTTCTCAGACAGGGATTGAGGGGGCAGTTGTGAATATCTGGGACTCAACTGGAGTAAAAGTTTTATGCTGAGAGAAGCTGGAGGGTGCTTATCTTTGAGAGAGGTAAAGGAGATGGAAGAAGCAAGCTTTTCCATGAGCTGAGTGTGACATGGCATAGCAGGGGTGATGGGGGAACAGCTGGGGGCAGCCTGCTTCAGTTCCCCCACCTGATGTTTCAGGCCAAGCCATAGACAGATCCCTGTGAAGCTCCAGTCTGTGCAAGCACCTTGGACTAAATAAGAGGTTAAATAAGGTATCTGTAAGGTGGGCATCCCTCAGTATTCCCCACACACTCAACACTTGGTGCAGCTATTGCAGGTTATACAGTGGGTTAATGCACTTCTAAAGCAGGTTTCCCACCTCTTGCTGCTTGACTGCTCATTGCAGGTTTTCAATGAATTAGCCCACTGAGCATTAAAGTCTCCAGGATCCGGCTGGGCTGACGTGCTTTTCTGCTTGTGTCACGTGGCCTTGAGATCAAGGGGCCAGGCATTGCTCTTGGGATGGTGCAGCAAAGCACGAACCTCAGAGAAAATTGATGGCTTGCTCCAGAGTGCAGCCTTGTGTTCATCCCTCTGTGCACTTTTGATTTTGGGAATAGATTTGTGGTTTGGTTTTGGGTTTTGTTGGTTTTTGTTGCCTTTTTTTTTCCTTTTTTTTTTTTTTTTTTATTGCACCATGGAAAACATTTTTCTGTCCAAACCAGCCCGGTCTTCAGCAGCACTTAACAATTAAAAGCACTTCTCTGTTAGGTGTTCCCTAGAAGATGGGAAGTAAGATTTTTGCATTAAAATGCCAGGAATAAAAATTGTGAAGGCATAAAGTGCTGCTTTATTTTCATCAGATGCTGGTGCTTTTGGAAAATCAGTTGTGCTGCAGTGATCATTACCCCTCTGTGTGCTTCTCTCACTGTTTGCTCTGGCTTGTCTCTGAAAGGCGGCTTGTGCAGAAAGCCTTGCCTTGGTCGTAGCTCCAGTTACACCCTGCAGGGCCCCGCAGCCATCAGAGGGGACATCCTCAGGACCTGGACTTGAGGATCCCTTCCTCCTTCTAACCATCTCTGCCTTGGTTTCAGGAGTATCCACCTCGGGGGCTCTGGGCCCGGGGAGCACTGCTGCCAGCACCACGCCGCGCATGGCCACCAGCACCACAGGCCGCACCACCACCACGTCGGCCTCGGGCAGGAGGAACAGGAGCACCAGCACGCCGTCCCCCATGGCTGATGTCCCTGATGAAATGACCACACACCTGCCACCTGCCTCCTCCCAGCTGCCTCCAGCCGGGGCGGAGAGCTGCGACCCCATGGAGGCCCGCGACATCATGTGGTCCCGCACTCGGCAGGGCCAGTTGGCCAAGCAGCCCTGTCCCTTGGGCTCCATAGGTGAGTCAGGGGGTGGGGGGACACAGCCGGCTGTCTTCACTTGCTATAACACTTTGTCAGTGTGCAACCAGTGCTAAAAACCCTTTAGGAATGTGCTGGGAGAGCCTGTGCTTCCAGAAGTTGTGTACGATGAGCCTTACCTGGTTTTGCCTGTATTTGTAGCCCCTAGGCTTACTAACTGATGTGTTGGTGGCTAATTCTTTGCTTGTTTTGCTAAGAGAGGGGACAGGGGAGGAAATCAACAAAACTTGTACTTTGAAGCTCCTGAACCAGTGTGAGTGATTTTTTTTAACTGCAGCCAGCATCCAGTATGATGAGCTCAGAAACTGGAGGCAGGGAAACAAAGCCAAATCTTTCAAAATGGTTTATTGCTTATTGGATTTTGCTCCTTTTCTTCTGCTCTTCCCACAATTGTTTTCTTGAAAAATGTTGCTTTTGGAAATTTTCTGTTCAATTTGAAACATAATCACACTTAGAATGGGTTTTGGCATACGGTTCAGTTTGCTGTGGTTTAACAAATGCAGTTTTCTAAAAATAGTTATTTTTCATGCTAGTCTTGCTGTCCAGCCCCAAAAGTTCTCTTTCAAAGAAGAAATCTTAAAAGTGGAGGAAATTGCCTGAAAATGAGGGCTAAAGGGATCTGGCTTGTAAAGGAGAGAGTCAGTGTTAATTCTCCCCTCCTGGAGAGCCATTCACACCTGTGTATATGAGTACTGACTCAGTCTGGAATTTAGTGAGGACGGACTGATAAAATATATGTTAAGGAATGAGGAGCATGGAAAGGTGTCAGGGGTGAGAATAGGTAAAGAACATTTTTGCTGTCTTTTCCAGCCCTGCTTGGTAAAACTAACGCCAAAAGTCTGATGTGATTCCCAGAGAGGGGAAAGGATATTCTGAACCAAAGCTGTAAAAAGGAAGAGAAGACGGAAAATGAAGGATGGATGCAGGGAGTCCTTTCCTAAGCACAAGAGCTAAGGACAGGATGAAAATAGCTAAGGAAAAGACAATAGCCCAACTTGGATGGATAGGGGATGGCCAATAAGCCTTCCCCATCTCCAGTCTCAGTGATTCACGCAATTTGTTCAAAGCTGTGATATGTTAGCACTTCTCTTTGTCTAAAAGGGTCTGAGGCATTTTGTTGTCTTTTCCAACAGGGATTGGGCAGCACTTCCCAAACAAAACTCTCCTCCAAAGTCCCTCTTGACAGCTGCGGGCTGACAGTAAACCCCAGCCATTATATCTTGGTGTCTGTAGCATTCAAACTTTTGTGTGTTTCCACCCAAATGTTGTAATGATGATTCAGAGACGTAAAATCTTCATAAAGCTACAAGGATGATGAGGCACAGGGTCTGATCCCTAATCACCAGCGGTGGGGCAGACCACTCAAGGTGTTGGCTCAGTGTTTGAGATCTGCTTCTGATTTCTTAGTACCTGGCACTTTTCCTGCATGTCCTCTGTCTGTAATTGCTGTGTGCCAAATTGGAAATAATATTCCTGCACAACATCATGGGTCTTTTATGTCTTAGGGCCCTTAAGGGACTGAGATGATGGGAGACTGAGATGACTCAGAAGTGTGCTACTCAAGACCTGAGCACTAATAAGCTTCCAAAAGCCTTTGACATGGGGTTCCAGGGGCAAAATGCAACCAGTCTCACTGAGCACAGCAACTTTCCTATTACAGGTGTTGCAACTTTCCGGTGTCTCGCGCCTGATGGTATCTGGGAACCCCAAGGACCTGATCTTAGCAACTGCTCTTCACCCTGGATCAACCACATCACTCAAAAGGTAAAACCCTTCCCATCCATGTGTTGACCACTCTGAGTCTGCACAGTGAGCTTGCTCAGCTCCCTGCTTTTCTCACACAAGGAACTCAAAAGAATCAACAGTTACACATAAAGTACGAACCTTGCAGAGTAGCCAAGAATTTCAAGGAGAAAGCAAGTGTCTCATGGAAATTAAGGCAGAGAGGGTAAGGGAAGGCAAAGAAGAAGGACTAAAGAGTGGAGTTAAACTAGAGTGAATGACATTTCTTGTTCATGGCAAGAAGAAGGAGGAGGAGGTGGGTGGACATATGGAAAGTACTGAGTTGTTGAAAAAGGAAACGCCCTTTCATGCATCCTCAAGGATTTCTTCATGTCACGCAAGCACTGGATAAACCCCATAGTTAAGAAATCTTTACCAAAGAAAGGCAGGCTCAATGTGAAATGTTTGTTTTTTGCCCCTGACTTTCCGTTTTTAACTTCTGCCCAAATTATAAAAGAACTGGTGGAGTAGAAAACAATGCTGCAGTAATGCTTATCTTTTGACTTTTAAGTCCCTTGATGAATGTTTTCTAGCACTTCATCATTTATCAGTGTTAAGAGTGCATTAACATGTGACAATAGAAGTTCAAGACAAGCAGAGCTTATTTGGTAGCAATATGTTGAGCATTTTTGTTATTAATGCACAATGGTGCTTTCAGCTGATTTCATTACAAACAGAGACCAGATGTGTGTTTACGCCACGGAGTCTGTGGGCTGCATCTTTATTATAGCAGTTTGTGGGGATTTATTCACTCCTTTAGCCAGAGTGAGCAAGTCCTGGCGTTGCAAGTGAGCTGTGCTGCTGCACAGTAGTGACACAGAGCTCCCAAAGAGCCACTGGTCAGTGGGATGGGGTCACTCCACAGACAAGACACTTGGACATTCTCCTCTCTGCCCCCCATCTAAACTGAGACCTAATAATCTGTGAATTGCTAGCACTGGTCATCCCTATCTTGCTTCGTCTGTGCAAGACCATTCCTTGGTCCTGTGCAGGACCCATCCCAAAGGAAAACATCAATTAATGTGGGGCTGCTGTGATATGGCACAGTCACTACAAAGCCCTTCTGTCCCTCTCCTGCCATTCACCCAGCAAGCTGATGAGCACAGGCTGCCTTTGCTGGCATTAGCAGCTGTGTGCAGCTCTTGTTTTATGACCTATGTACTTCCCCTGGAGGGGTTAATATTACTTACTCCAGCCATAATTCACCCAGGCAGCTGGGAGACCTCTTGCTGCTTGGTGAAGATGACTAGGCCGTTAGCCATTAGCAGAGGGAAATAATAGCCTGCACTGATGAAATCTCCATCAAGGTTAGGCTTATTTTATTTGAAACCCTAGCTATCATTTGCGTAACAAATGGGCCCCATTTAATTTGTTACGTGCTTTCAAAGTAGGCTAAAATTGAACAAGGCAAGTTTTGAGAAATGCCCAGCAGGTTACAACTGGGACTAGATTTATTTTCTTTTTTCCTGAAGGAATTTAGTTATGTTCAGCATTAAATGCCTTCTTCTTCCAGTCAGTAGAAAGGACTTGGGGAATCAATGAGATGACCCTGAATCTAAGTTTTTGGCCTGAGTGGGAATTCATTGGGATCTTGAGATATGTGACCCAACCTCAATGACAGCTGTTACCAAACATCGAGACTTTTTAGGAGTGACTTTTGAGGGGAAAGCCTTGCAAGGCTCACCTAGGGGTTTGTGTTGGGGTTACAGTTGTTGAAACATTTATATTGGAAAAAGACCTCTCAGGTCATTGGGTCCAACCATTCACCAACACTGCCACATCCACCACTAATCCATGTCCCTAAGTGCCATGTCTACACATCTTTTAAATCCCTCCAGGAATAGTGACTCAGCCACTTCTCTGTGGTCTGTTCCAATGCTTGACCACTCTCTTGACCACTCTCTAATGTCCAATATAAACCTTTCCTGGTGCAACCTCAGGTGGTTTCTTCTTGTCCTATCATTTCTTACCAAGAGAAGAGACTGACACCCACCTTGCTACAACCTCCTTTCAAGTAGTTATAAAGAGGGATGAGGTCCCTCCGAGCCTCCTTTTCTCCACACTAAACATCCTCAGCTGCCTTAGCAGCTCCTCATAAGCCTTGTGCTCCAGAGCTTTCCCCAGCTCTGTTGCCCTTCTCTGGACTTCCTCCAGCACCTCAAGGTCCTACTTGTAGTGAGGGGCCCAGAACTGGACACAGCACTCGAGGTGTGGCCTCACCAGTGCCCAGTATAGGGGACAATCAGTGCCCTGGCCCTGCTATCCACACTGTTTCTCAAACAGGGCAGGATGCCATTGGCCTTCTTGGCCACCTGGGCACACAGCTGTCTCTTGTTTTCTGCTGGGCAGCTTTCCAGTTACCCTTCCCCAGCCTGTACTGCTACATGGTGTTGTTGTGACCCAAGGGCAGGACCTGCACTTGGCCTTATTGAACCTCATACCATTGGCCCTGGCCCATCAATCCAGCTGTCCAAATCCTGCACATGCCACGTGAGGGCACTCAGCATGATCTGCTCCATGATATTGCATTGCATTTTCAACTTCCAGTGCACTAGGATACCCCCAGTTAGCCAGGGCTGCTGATAAATGATGGAAAGTGGCTCAATAAGCTCCTCTGCAAGTTCCGTCAGTACCATTGGGTGGATCTCATCCAGCCCCATAGACCTGTGGTTGTGTAAATGGTGTATCATGTCACTGACCATTTTTTTCCTGGATTGTGAGGGTTTTCTTCTGTTCCCCGTCCCTATCTTCCAGCTTTGGGTGCTGGGTATCCTGAGGACAACCTGGGTACCCTGGTCTTGCTGTTAAAGACTGAGCCAAAGAAGGCATTAACTACCACCTCAACTATTTCCCCATTCTTTGTCACTATATTTCCCTAATATCCATTTTTTATTGTGTTTTATGGCAGCAGACAGGCAAAGTTCTAGTTGAGCTTTAGGTCTGCTAATTTTCTTCCTGTATAACCTCACAAGATGCTTGTAGTCCTCCTTTGTTATCTGTCCTTTCTCCAGAGGCCATAAGTTCTCCTTATTTATTTTTTTTTGTTGTATTCTAACCAAAGCTCTCTGTTCAGCCAGTCTTATTCCCCACCAACTCATCTTTTGGCAGATAGGTATGTCCTGCCTTTAGGATTCAGTAGGATCCTTACAGTAAATACAGTTTTAAATTGCATATGAAATAACCAATAGCCATTTGGTTTCCCTGCCCAAGCAAGAGGCTTGAAAATCATCACTGCACTTAAAGATGGAGACTGACTCATCCATAAATCAAGCACTGGTTTCCAACATCCCTGCTGTGAATGGGATGCTTCCCAAAGCTTGCAGATTTGCTCCAGCACCTCTCTGAAGATGAAAATGGAGCCTTCTGCCTCTAAGTCAAACCAGCTTCTCCTCCTTCTGCTGTGGGGACAGCTAGAGGGAGCAGTAAGCCAGCTGTGCTGTGAGGGCAGGGCTGGTTACACCCTGCATCCCCAGCTCTCCTGGTCACTCGGCCCGCTGCAGCACAGCTGACAAAATGGGTAAAAATACTTCTTTGTCAGCCAGGGCTCATACCTGCTCAGAGTGTCTTCATTCCTGATCTGCTTTGTCTCCCAAAAATCTGACATCTGCAGGATCCAAACTGCTCAGGGAGAACGGTGATGGGATCCCTGGAGGGATTTCAGCCAAGCCAGAAAGGATGGCAGGGAAATGCTGTGCTTGCTTTCATATCTGTGTAGTGAAGTAGGAATGATTACTTCTTCTCCTTCTCCCGCTGTGCTCAGACTGTAGATTGGGTGTTTGCCTGCTTGCATCATGGTATTAGGTTTTACAGCCGTTTCCTAGCTTCCATTAGAGTTATTGTGCTTGATGGAAGATCAGAACAAATGTTCTCCTCAGCAATTCATTGGCCTCCTGACATTTACTTTAACTTTATTGTTGGTGCCTACCATGCCCTCGTAACGGAGCGGGAGAATGAACTTGCCAGTGCGATTGAATTATGCACTGCTACCCAGCTTATTTCTAGAGTCAAGCAGCAACAGGAAGCAAAAAGGTCAGCTTTGGATACATTGCATCATCCTGATCATGAGGTCACACTTTCAGTCTCAGCCTGTTTGTTTTGCTTCTTGCTTTTATCAGTGCCATCCTTAGTGCGGTGTGTGACTTGCCTGGAGATGTCTCTTCCTTCCTGCAGCTTTTAGCTGTGGGTGCTGCCTGGGAGGACAGGCACTGCTATGCTCAGCTTCAAATCTCTGGGAGAGAGGAGGCCTCTTTTGTAGCAGAACAGAAAAAGTTGTGCCCTTCGCAAATGCACAGAAAGCTTTAATCTATGTAAATCTAAAGCACATGCCCTCCTGAGTGGCCTGGATTGTGTACTCCCAAAGAGCAGGTTGAACCTCAGGATTTGTAGCACCTTCCTGAGGTCTTGTAGATCTACTTGGGTGTGTGTTACAGGGAGAGTAAGTTTTTATTGTAGACATCCCCACATTGTTGTGTCCAGTTCTGAGGGTGCAGTTGCAGTCCAGATGACAGCACAATGAAATCCTCCATCCAAGTTGCTTTTGGCAGTCTGTTTTCAGAGCACCGTCATGAATTGGATGGAGCAGATGCCACAGAGGGTGGCTTATTAAAGGGTCATTAACTGCAGTTTAAGTTGGTTCAATACCATAGTTTCATAGCCACTATTTCAGTGTTCTCTAGGTCTGCTGTAATCTATGGAGAGCATTGTCTCTTCTCCCAGACAGCTGGCAAAAAGAAAAGAGGACACAAGCTGTGCCAGGGGAGGTTTAGGTTTTAGCATCAGGAGGCATTTATTCATTGAAAGGATGATTAGGCTCTGGACTGGGCTGCCCAGGGAGGTGGTAGAGTCACTGTGTCTGGAGGTGTTTAAGGAAAGGCTGGATGTGGTACTCAATGTCAGGGTCTAGCTGACATTTCGGTGTTCAGTCATAGGTTGGAATTGGTAATTTTTGAGATTTTTTTTTCCAACCTAAATGTTTCTGTGATTCAGAAATAAAAAAAGGAAAGAATGGTAGATATGCTCTGACTCTTTTCTGTGAATGCAGACACATATATTGAAATTCCTGCCAGGGAAGGAGAAATGCCATGAAAGCTTTGCAGCGTCAGAAGTTAGCCCACAGCCTCTCTTACAGGCTTGCTACCTGACTGCTGGGAGCTAATGGTGCCTGGTGAAACCTGTCAGATGTTTGTTCCTCCAGAAAACAGCATCAGCTTCGTGGTCTTTCCAGCTGACCAGTCCATCTGTACTGTTTTTAAAGTTTGGTCTTTCTTGCCATCTTTTTTTTATTTATCAGTTTGTCTCTTCAGAAGGCTGCAGGAAAATACTTGTGCCTTTATGACTCTTGGTGTTTTAGTTAATTTGCTCACTTCTCAGCATATTTCTTATTTCATCTGAATTTTCCTCCCTAAATACTTACTTTCTTGCAATTACTCTCATTTTTATTCTAATGTCCTCTTTTGCAGTTGGGTTTCTTCTGAGAAAGATAGGTCTTTCTTTGTCTTTCCAGACAAAACTCCCTTCTTCTATTTGTTGGCATATATGAAACAGGCAGGAGAATATGTCCTCTCCAAAACCTATTATTTCGGAGTCCTTTCACTCATAAAAAGGTGCAAGATAGTGGTACAAACTTGGAAAATGTTAGCAGAGTGTTAAACAGAGGGATTTCAGGTGTGCCAATGATCATTTGTAAATCTGGCCTGAATCCTGTCCTCTCAAAAGGAAAAGGGGAACAATTTTTTTGGCAGACTTATAAAACTGTGTTTTGTATGTTGGCATTGTTGGCAAGAAACATATTTTTGCTCCTTTAAATTAGCATTCCAAGACTAGTTTTAATGTTTGTAAAAGGTAAGAAAAAATAGGCCGAAAAACCACAGAAACCAAAAATTTGGTTTCAAATTTGTTTGAACAGAATGTTTTCTTTTATCCCAGAATCCTATTTAGATTTTAATTTTTTCATAATCAGGGTAGAAAATGTTAAAAAGCAGTGTCATATCTGGGAGAGATGTATTATTTTTAATTCCTTTTATCATTCTCAGGCCTCACAATAGAAAGGTCAGATACTTACACATATTTTCCCTGCTTCTTACTTGCCTCTCAATATCAGCTTGAGCCATGGAGGTCCTCCAGGGGTTGTTGCTGTATTCATATGTAACTATGTCAGTGTCTGGGTTAAAGAGTATTACATGTTTTGGGAGAAATAACATAAAGAGCTCATCTTTCATGTGGCAGTAACAAAGAGAAAGATGTGGAGAAGTAATTTATAGGAAGGAAGTAAGTAATGCATCCTCTTGGGTAGCAGTAAGCTTTGCTGAGCATTACGTAGAATTAACCAAAAAAAAGAAAAAGAAAAAGGGTTCAGTCCTGTTGTTATAAGAGACCAGATACTTATCTGGAGTATTCAGTCCATTTGGGACTCATAAGAGAAGTTGGGTTTGACAGCACTGCATAGGAGACACTTCAATTTCAGTGGAAAAAGCTCCCAAGAATTGGTGAAATCAGCATTAATGTGTCACACAGCCATCATCCCAGACATCCCTCTCATGCCAGAGTGGAAGGAGTGTCTCAGCACTGCTGTAGTGACTTGTAGTGCACGTTCTATGTGACCGTGTGTAGGTGCGGAATTGTCAGCCCTAGGATGTAGTTTCATTACCTGCCAGCCAAAAACATTTTCCCAGAAAAATGACCAATATGTGTTCTCAGGAAACCTGGGTGTGTAAGATAACTTTGGATAAATACTTCTGTGTCCCAGGAGTTCACAGACTTTAGTTTGCCTTTTTCTCGGGCGTTTCTTCCATTGCTGCCTATTTTTTGTGTTTATTTGGCCGCATATAATTCCTCAAATTTACAATTTTAGGGTGAGTCCAAGAAAAAAGGAAAAGAGATAATTAGTGACCAGCTTATATTGTTTTTGCAGACAGATAGGAACAGCAGCAGCCTGAAGGGAAAGGAAACTTTTGCTTGCCTTTGTAGCAGCTGACCTGCATTTTCTCTGAGTGTGCCAGTTTGCATAGGTGTGTGGTCCAAGGGAAAATGCAAACGTCAAATATTGGGTAGTGGGGCCTTCTGGTTTTACTGTGGTGTATCTGTAAAAAATATCTTGAATTCCCACAGTTTTCTGCAGAGCTTACACAAACAATGTATCATGATACATGCTAAGCTTCAGCAATGAACTGCAGGAAAAGGTTGAAATTGATTTCTCTATGTAAAGGGATTTGATGCAGTCATTCTTTGAAGTTCTGAGAGCCAGCAGCAGAGGTCAAAATTCAGCCTCTGTGCTGATGTGTGGCTCCCTTCAGCTGCTTAGGAGAGCAGGCAGCTGTAAGAATAGGATCTGGTTTCTATGGCATTAGCCTTCAGTGTAACAAGAAAGAAATAATTCAGTTTTTGAATATATCTTATCATTGCTCTAATGGGAAGAACAACATATTATCTCCTTTATTTATCTTCCCTGTATCATCGTATGCGTTAATTCCCTGAAGACGAGCATATGAACATCTTGAGTTAGATTTCATTAAATCAGATTGGCTTTTGCTGTCAAATTGATGGAAATAAGTTATTCATTTATAACTCAGCTAATTGATTTACAGAGAGGTAGAAGCTCAGCCTATAATCTTTCCCTAGAATCTTGCTTTTATAATAAGCACCAGAAAGTGAGGGAACAAGAGAAATATCTGATTTCTAGCTGTTGGTAGATAAGACAATTGAAAATTCATATGAAAAGCACAGCAGAGTTTGCCATTGAGTCTGACAGAGAAGTGGGAACTTCATTTATGTGTCATCCTGTATAATTTCTCCTTGTCCCAGGCATATTCCACGTGGGTTTGCATTCCAGATCACAGACTGGTAGATAATGAGTAAAAGACCAGCAAACTGCAGTGGTATTTTTGTAGTGGGCTGCTCATGAAAAGGACACGGGGCCAGTTGCCCTGTCCCAAAACCCCATGGCACAGAAGAGGAAAGGGGTACCAGATAGGGAGAGCAAAAAAGTAGGAAAAGCAGGGAAAGAGTGAGATTTTCCTCAAATAATTACACAGTGAATTTCCCTGCAGGTTTTTTGTGAGTTTTGTGGCTCAGCTAGATGATACAAGTCTTTCAGTAGAAGATTCAGCCAACCTCTCTGCTGGCTTTTCCCTTCTAGTGGGCCTCTGCTTGAGCCTTTTACTCTAGAGTTGGAATGCTTTTACAGGTGCTGAGAGTCACTAGCCTCATTATCAGTGGCTAGTGTGGCAAGTGATGCCAAGTGATAAATTAGCTCCTGATTATTAAATCAATAAGATGGAAATAGTGAACTTTTTGCTCTGGTTTCTCTGGGTTATGTCATCTTTTTTTGCTCCTTTTACAAGGAACTCTTCTGTGCAGAAGCTGTAATAAAAATCATCCCTTTGCCATTGCATAAAATTCTGGAATTAGAAACTGCGTTTTCTTGATAGGAGAGGCTACTCACATTGTTTTTTTCAAGTGGCACAGTAAGCCAGTGGGACAAGCTAATTAAAGCCTTCCTTAGCATGGAAAACCCATGGAAAACAGTGCCTAGTGAGAAGAAATTGTTGAAGCCGCTGTAGTTGACTGGGAAAACTGTACTCAAAAAACTATTCATGATAAAACCACAACAACCATCTTGTTGTAGTTGACTTCTTGGGAAATGCTTCTATTCCATCTTCCTTCCTCTTCCTCTTGAGGGGAGTTTAGCTGATTAATGGTGTGGGGTTGGAAGGCACTGGAGTGACTTGTCACCAGCAGCCAGGTGGTGAGACATAAACTTTAAGGAATTTAAAGATTTTAGAGGAGCTAAGATTTCAGTTAGAGATAAGCTTTATTGGAGTTAATTAAAAGAAATTGGTAGGCCTTGATGAAGTGAAGAGTTAGTAGTTAACTAATAATTGATTGCTTGTCAACACAATGTTTGGTTAGCTGGGTTTATAATGAAGAATATAGAAACTGATAAATAACTTTAGGAACATAAGACAATTGTAGGCCTCCTCTGTTCTGAAACCAATTGAAGACAGGGAAGGGGAGTTCTACCAAGAGTTCATTTGTCATATTTGCATTGATAAGGTAGAAAGGTCAGAACAAGGAAGACTTCATTTACTTCCTCATTTTGGGACCCTCCCCATGAAAGGGACCACTGACTCATTTTGAGAACAAACTACGCATGCTTAATAGCTTTTGAACTAATTACCACACTAAGCGGGAAATGGGTTGTATCAAAGTTATGAATATGCATTTGTATTTTGGATATTCAATACTTGTATAGGTAAAAGAACTCTGTAATCCCCTGTAAATGGCGGTGTGTATTTGGGAGCTATCCAGCACACTGTCCGGCATTGCAGCAAACATACACTTTCTAGCTTTAAACTGTTAGAGAGTCTTTGTCCATCACAGCTGGATTTTGGTACTAGATCAGTATCCATTTTTTTTAATAAATCACAACCTTTCCCTCTGCTTTGTGCCCCGCAGATGCGGTCGGGGGAGATGGCCGCCAACATCGCACGGGAGCTGGCGGAGCACACCAGGAACCACCTGTACGCCGGGGACATCGCCTACTCCGTGTCCGCCATGGTGCAGCTCGTCAACCTGCTGGACGTGCAGCTCCGCAACCTGACTCCCGGCGGGAAGGACAGCGCCGCGCGCAGCCTCAACAAGGTGAGAGCCACGGGGCCTTCCTAGTCACAGCCTGTCACTTGGCCCCAGGAGCGCCTTGGCTGCATGGCAGCAGGGTGGTTTCTGTGCCCACGGCTCAAGAAGAGTTATTAGTCCCTTTGTCATTTCCAGAAGTGAGTGGAATTGCTACATAGCACTAAAGGTGCCAGGAGTTTCCAGTTGTGGGAGACAACATGAGCTGTGGGCTCTGTAAGAACACATTTAAAGCTGAAGGTTTCTTTAGTGAAAGGCCCTCTTCAGCACTGAATCTCATGTAAACACATGGGATAGGACTTACCTAGGATTATAACAATGAATTGTGTGGGCCTGGTTGTCAGGACAAAGAGCAACCAGACCCTGGTGTCTATGAGCACGTGGTTATATTGGCCACCCAGTTAAAAAAAGACACAGAATTTTGTTCTCACCTGCATATCAGGCTCTGACAGTTCTGGCATTCATGTAAGCATGAACAGAACTTGGTCCCAAGATTACATGAGGAATAAGTGATCCCAGCTAAACATGAAATTTTTTAGGTGTTTTATGAAGAAAAATGTTTTTCAGAGATGTAACGTGGTCTTTTTTCTTCTAAGCTATTATTGTAGACTGACGCTGTTTTAAATACAAAGGGCTTCAGGGTTGTTTGAGATTTCAGTCGCATGGGAGCTGAACTCCTGCATCTCATGTGCTTTGCATGTGCTGAGAATTGGGTTATCTTGATGCTTTTAATTAGTGCTGCTTCTAGCCATTTTATAACAACCTAGGTGATAATTGTATTAACTGTTACATCAGCATAACATTATTTGTTATAATCATACCATGGTTCTTTGTTGAAATGATGGTGATGTCTGACAGTATTAGGTAAAGCCAGCAATTAATGTCACTTACTAACAGGTTTCATGGTTTTAGTCTGCTTGTTCTTCTGGGTGCATCCCAGCCACACACAACATTTGTCAATTCAGCTTTGCAAGCACATATTTTTCATCTTTGTTTTTATCTCACTTTATGATTTTTGTTTCAGTTACATGAAATGGAGTTGTATCATGGGGGCAGGAATGAGTTACTGAGGGGAGGGGAAGACTGGGCCAGGCAGAGCTCCTCAGCTCAGCTGTCACTTCTGGGGTCCCCACTGCAGGTTTCCCCCCCCTGCCATCCGCTTTGCACAAGCAACACATACAAATCAATTGCATTCCACATTAAAATTCTGGACCATGTGAAGTCCTGCAAAACAGCGATGCGACTCAGTGATCCAAATGACAGGCTCAGTAATTTACTTGCTCTCATTCCCCACTTAATTCTTTAGAAGAGCAACTGCTCTGTGTTCATTTAAGAATGCATGAATTCAACTTGGAAGTAGTATTGGGCAAACAAAAGGCAGCAGAGTTACTGCTCCATTTTCCCCTTCACTGATCAAGAGTATTTAAAAAAATAGGAAAAAAGTAATTTGCAAAGAATTTTGTTTAGTGCTGTTTAGTCAGAAAGAAGAAATAGAGTAAGCACTAGCTATTAAATATCCTTTTAATCATTAAAGGAAATGTGCTGGGGATCCGAGAGTAATCACCTGTGCTGTTTTGTACTGGAGGGTTTTTTTACAAGCTGATGTAGAATGAATTGAAATAAACTGGCATAATCAGAATTTTTAAAAGCCATCATCTTTCAGGAACCACTTTTCTGTCACTAAAAGCTTAATGCTTTCCAATGGATCAGGCTTAATTAAGGTGATAATTGTTCCATTTCAGACTGGGAAGACCCCCGAGTGGATAGCTCTGTAATTTTCAGCAAGGCTTTCTTTGATCTCCATTTGTTTCTGTAAAGTCTTCATACTGGCCAGATTTACCCAGAGGAAGATTTCTACTGTTCCAAATTGATGAATTAGAAATTGAAATTAGGCATTGCATGATACCTGGGTGTATTTTGTTTATTTCAGAGCCTCAAAACTCTTGAGGACAAATTTGGCTCTCAGCTGCACTAATGGGATGGCACTGCTGTGTGTTGAGAGCACAAGTTGTCCTGAATCTCTGTTGATGTGCAATTTCCAGCCAGGCACATCAGCAAAAACAAACCCAGCCAAGCCAGTGGCTCTGAACAGCCTGGTTTTCTGAGCTCTCATTGCAGTGATGCAGATCTCACCAATTCCAGCTCACTGCTGCTGAATGCCTGCCAGGTCTGTCAGGGTGGGTCTATGCAGGTCCAGGCTGTATCAGTGTGCAGTCCTGCCCAAGTCTTGTTCCCTGGGGTTGGTCCTGCTCATCTGAAGCTTGGTTATATTTCACTGTCTTACTGCAGAGCCCATGCTCCTCTTATGCAAATAATCATCAGCCTCATCTTTTCCTACCTTGTTTGACATGGAAATGTCATGTGTGATCTCCAAGCTGTAAGGAAAACATCATGTCTTGAGTGTCTCTACTAGACTTCAGTCTTCTACCATCTAACAGCTGCTCTTGCAAAGTTGCCAGTGTGCTTCACTTCACTGAAAAAGGACTAATCCACATTTCTGGAGCCAGTCCTTCCAGTTTTCCACTGCTGACTAACTCACGCTCACTTCTTTAGTTTGGTTGGTTTTTCAGGAGCTGTTTAAGAGAGAAATGAGGGGTTTTTCACAGGCATTTTCTTCTTTATTTTTTTCCCTTGTTCTGTCACTAACTTGTTTTTTCTATTCCGTCTTTAATCTGCTCTCTTTATGGACTCAGCTTCAGAAAAGGGAGCGCTCTTGCAGGGCCTATGTCCAGGTATTTCTTGTGTTTTTAATACACGTGTCCAGTTGTTTGACTGAATGACTGTGAAGTGGGTCTTGTCTCTGTGAATAATCTGATTATTACCACCTTTGTGGCAGCAAGTTCTAAGGTTAAGGTTACAGGATAATAATGTCATTTTTTACCTCACTGATCTGCCCCATTTCTCTCAGACTTGACAAAAATTTGGGACAAAATCTCTGAATCAGAAAGTGAAAAAAAAACCACAAGAGAGATCTGACAAGTTTCATCTGGCCGACTGAATGAGCAGGACAGTATAGAGATGTGCAAGTAAAGAACACAAAATTGCTGCTCACAGAGGTGTCTCCAGACCAACTGGATTTTGCTTACAGCATGTCATTCATGCTACTGCCACCTGCATTTCCTTAGTTTTCCTTCTTCCCCTTATACACTTCTAAATTGAGAACAATTCAAAGTGGCAGCACTAAGCAGGAGGGAGGAGGTAGAATTGTAATGAAATGCAGAGTGTCTTACAGAGAGATGTTGGAAGGAGGAGAGTGCTGCAAACAGTGCATAGGGTGATGAACATAACATCCCATAAAGTTCACCCAGGTCTGGCCTGACTTTCATAGGCTTACGTTGTGTTTGATGCGAACAAAGTCAAGCTCCAGCATTCTGGAAAGTTCACACTTGTGGGCTTTTCAGGAGTGGGACCTCAAGTTATCTTATCAATCCTGTCACCTTGCCTTATAGTATTTGCTCCAGTGTTTGTTTTTTTTTTTTTTTATATAAATCTATTTGTATACTGTAGGACAGTTAATGCTGCTCTAAGAAATGTGAATGCTTTACCTTCTAATCTCTGTCTTGTGCTTGTGAATGTTGGTATTGTTCTTATGGGTGGTTGATCATTATTTATATGCATATGTGAAATGTGCATAAATGAATTTGTGTTTCTGGAGGGGGCTGTCTGTACCTGCATTTTCCTGCAAAATTGCACTTCCTACAGTCTGTACTGACTTTATTTTGTGCACACAAATTTCATTTAGCAAATGGGATTGGATGATCTGGATTTCTAGGTTGTTAGAAATGAAACAGTACCCCTCTGTGCTGGGAGGCTGTCTTCCCTTTGGAAAATGTCACAAGATAAAGTCACATGTTCCTTTCCATATACATTGATGGATAAAGATGAGTTATGGAGTTACATATCCCTTATCTGGGATCCCAGAGAAAGCAACTAGGAGGCATTTGATAGAATTTAGGAAAGTTTGCAGTGCAGTGCTCACTCCCAAGCTAGCTGCCTTGTGTACTGGTACCCCTCGAAACATGGTGAGGCTGCTTTAACTCTGCACAGTCCTGTTGGGGACATTGTGTGCTGCCTGATCCATAGCTGTCCTTTCCCCTGGCTGCACAGGCATTCTCCACAGAGTCAATGCACACTCCTGCTCTTCTGTCTTTTTTCAAACAGTAGCGATTGGTGAGTTTAATACACCCTACAGAAAGCTTGGCCTTGATAGAGTAAAGCCTGAATACTCCGCAAAAACTTCAGCTTACTCTTAATTTCAAGGACTTCTTTCACTTGGAAAGGTTGCTTGCATGTTTAAGCATTAATCATGCATCTACTTCTTCAGTAAATAAAAACTGATGAAAGCTCATTGCTTGAACTGTTAAGTATGGGTATGGACAAATCTGCTATATATATTGAAGAGGACAGTGCTGTAAAAGAGGGCTTGAAGAATGAATTAGATGACCTAATTGAACCTTTTCAGCTCTGCTTTGTACTATATGGAGGTAAAGTAACGTATCTCGACATATTTTCATACAGTATGTTCCAGGTGGAAAATTGTGTGGCTAAAGTCATAGAAAAATCTAGTGAGGGAGAGGTTGTCTGTAGTAGCAATTAGATGTGACTGCAGATAGTCCTGTTACAGGCTACTCATCCTTTACCAGGAAGTGAAATGTCTGGGCTCACTGAGGGAATTTGACAGAGATTTTTCAACAAATCTTAAGTGGTGACCCCCTGGGCTTTGTTAAGTCAGTGGAACATGGGAAGTCACTGGGACATGTGGTGTTGATGGCAGAGCAATAGAGTGTTCAACTTTGCTGACATGATCTCCTCATGCTGATCCCATCACTGTGAAGAGCATCCCTGGCTGAATTTGGCTCAGAGGGCTGGAAGTGTACCTTCAATTCTGTGCTCCCTAGACAAAGGAAGGTGCAGTATGAAGTTTATGCAGGAGATGTCCAGGAACTGTGAATATCAAAAGTACCATTGAGGAAAGGTATTTTTTTGGAAGGAGGAGGGTGACCTGAGAAGATAATAATTGCTAAAATCAGTCTTACTGTTTTCATTGGGCTAACCAATTTAAGTAGTCAGGACAGAGCCCCTGTAGCGATTGATGTGTAAAGCCCTCTTAAGCCCAAAATAAATTACTATAAATAGATATGCAAAGTGGCTGGAGAAATTTTGCAAGTTATTCAAACATAAAACTGGGAATGCATTATCATATTATCACCTCATCTCTTTGGGTGCCTTTAAAACAAACATGGATTTAATTTGTTCACTTTCACAGTATTTGTTGAGTTAAAAGCTCAGGGATTTTATTGACTGCAGATAGAGGTTACAAATGCTGCTTCTTGAGTTTCACATGTGGTAAATTATCTGTTTTAGTCTCACAAATCCAGCAAGAACCAGCTCAGCAGGTGCCATGATGAATATGTATTAATACAATGACTGGACAGTTGCTGAAAGATTTTTCAGTCATGGTGATAGCAAGAAACTGCTAAGTGAGTTTTAATTGGTGATACTACTGAACAGTCAGCTGAGACTGAGCTGAGCAAGGTGTATAAAAAGGTGGCAGAGTGGACTCACCAAGGTGCTCCATTGGCAAAGAGGTTGGCCTTCTAGAGAACAGACATCCACATCTCCTCTGCCCACCTTTCTGAAGTTCTTCCAGTCTATTTTGGGAAGGGCATGGAAAGGTCATAATGTGGGAGAATGAATCACAATAGGTGACGCATTGGATTAGCATGGCTTGGTTTGCTGGCTGGTCTGTGATATAAGCTGGTATGAATTTTCTTCAGTTTTTTCAGAATTGATGTTTGTTCATTTTCCAAAAGTTCTTGTCCTTAAACTGAAGCACTGGAGTTGTAGAAAACATAAATTACTTGACTTTTGGGGATTGTGAAACTGGGTTTAGTGTCACAGATTTCTTTCATGCCCCTCAGTAAGTGTCATGTGCTCAGTATTTCTCAGCTCCCCAGCATAAAATGCCATGGATGCAATTCCCCTGTCCTCTAGGAACAGAGGTGGGCTAGTAAAAAGAAAAACAAAATGCTAAGTACTCACATAATGTAGTAAGTGAGGCTGTATTAAAACAGAAAACTTAAACATGGGGAAAAAATTAGAGAATTTTGCTGATTTAGTAGCTGGAAACACAGGTTTTATTAAAGGCTCATACCACACCCGTGCTTGCAGTCTCTTTATCATGTTCATGCATCTGATTGCAAAGTCTGGGCTCACCTGCTTGCTTCACTTGGATTTGTGGGCTGCAGCTCGGGCATCAGGAGGCCAATGAATTTCCCTGCAGTGCCAAAGCAGAGGTCTCTTCCCTGTGAAATTGCATGCTGCGTTTGGGATGAGCATCTTGGAAGACAAAAACTTCACAGGGTTCCCATTCTTTTGGTTTATTTTATAAAGTCAGTATGAGTGGTTTTAAAGCCAGAGGCTGGTGAATACAACAGATAGTGTGAATGGCAGCTTTGTGGAAAGGGTGGAAGGAGGCAGCAGAGGGTTGCTTCTTGCAGCATCTTCCTCATCTAATGGAGTTTGCTGCTCTTGGTTCCTGCCATCCTCTGAGCTGCCCTGTAAGTCAGCTTGCCCTCTTTTGTAGCTCTGCACTGGTCTGGATAGCAAATGGCAATGATGGAGGTGCCACCTGCCCCTTGGTAATTACAAGAGCTTCTGGGTGTGGTGTCATCAGAGCCACACATGAAGCCAGTGCTGAGAGGACGGCAGGCTCCTGGTAGCAGACAGTGGCAGGAGGTTGCAGAGTTGTCCTTCTGGTTCTCCTGGAAGTTTTCTGAACACTTCTTGTTTGAAACATGTGCTGTTTGAATTGCTGCACTAAGCAAAATTTGAAAGGCTTTCCTCAGAGGATTCAAGGCATTAGGTTTAGACCTGAGCAGAAGAGACTTTATTTTTTTTTTTTCTTTGCTAACCTAGTAGTTCTCATCAGATAAAAGGTGCATCTGGGATTTAGCCAGTACTATTTAAAGTGGATTAATTCTGTTTGTCCTACTTCTCTCTTGCTTGCATGATTGGTCACAGCTTCCATGAAGACTAAATGAAGGAAACTTGCAACTCTAAGAGGGAGCACAAATTGAATTATGCCGTGTTTGCTTGCGTTCTTGTTGCCCCTCTGACAAGAAAGACTCTAACCTCCATTTGTATAAAAAAGAGGCAAATTAACGAAGGTTTTCAAGTTCCTTGTTTGGTCACTTAATTGGCTGTATGACAAAGAGCTCTGCAGTGTGTGTCAAACAACTCTGAGAGTTCTCTGATGATTTGTGCATTGCTTGACTCCTGATGCTATTCTGCACAGCCTGTCAGGCGAGGTATCGTTGTTAAAGTGGCTAGAATAAATTGGCTAGCAGTGAGCATACAATGTTGTATATTAACTATAGCTACAGGGAGTACTTTTAGCTGCTTTTTCAAGAGATCGAGATGTTTGCCCATCAGCATCAAAGTGCCTAAAACTTTCATTTAATATAATTAAAAGGACATCTGAAAGAAGTGTGACTCGCAGTGAGGTTCAGTGGTTTGGTAGTCCTTTGTTAAAACTCTGTGAACTTAATATACTTCACAGCTTGAGAAACCTGCACTTGATTTGTGTCAGCAAGAGTGAAACTAGAAATCCTCACCCTGCATGTTTCTGCTGCAGTGAGCCTGTTGTTAAGGGAGAGGAGGATCAAAGCAGCAGCCTTGAGTTTGTGACCAGACTCCAAAATTCATCGCATAAATGTTAAAAAGGAAGGTG